GGAGAGGTCACCGGGGAAAGCGGGTGGTGAGGGGCCGGGAGGGCACCGTGCGGGCAGACAGCCCCTCCGCGCCCTTTCCCTCTTGCGCCGCTCGCCGGAAACTTGCCCGGGAGCTCGGCCTTGCGAGCTTTTCCCAGGCGCGGTGTCTGGCGTCCCTGCGCTGTCTGGTCGGGTCTATATGGAAGCGTAGGACATCGGCGATGGCTGCCGCACACGGTTGAGGGGAGGAATGGTCGTGGTACGTGGTTTCATTTATTTTCCAAGACTCTCAGCTCGAAGCCTGCTGTGCTCGGCTCCACCGGAGAAGGGAGATGGAAATACGCTGTGATTACTAATGTATCCTCAGGCTGTTTCTACTTAAAACTCACTTCAGTGGTTCACAGTGGCACAAGTGGTTACAAAATAACGTTGCCGTTGTCTGCAGAAAGAATAACTTTCTTTGCCCCATGTTACTTCTTACAGCATCCGGTCTAGCTTTGTGCTATCCAGCCCACATCCAGGATCAAGTTTACACCAACCAACCACACAACCCCCCACTTACAGCCTGTGCAAGATGTTCTCACTGATCTTGAGCACAAATGGAAACCGTCAAAGAGCGTGGTGTGTGCCAGGCTGTTTCACACTCCAGCAGCACGGCAGCTGGAAGAGTGAACAAAATTCTACACAAAAGGGCTTACTCAAACCATGTCATGGAGGTTCACAGTCGTCAGGGTGGATGACCTCATGCGCAGGTTCATAGGCTGAAAGCATCCTTCCGGTGCTCATGCAGGCTCTTTGAAGTGCCTCATCTTGAGACAAACTTGGAAAAAGATCAGAAAATGCAAAGGGGGAAGGGGCATAAAGCGCACCCAAACCTAAATGCTTTGATCTGAAATACATTTGGTGTGCATCACACACACAAAACTGGGTTACAGAAAGGGGGTAGAGCCCCAGGCACTTAAGCAGTTATTGCTTAAACAGTCTGAAGAAGTTACCAGACTACCAGAGAAATAATCTCAAAGCATCACTTGGGCAGTTTCCTTCTGGGTTGTTTCATCTGTACCTGGGATCCGCAGCAGGCTTTTAAGGCATGTAAGGATTTTTCTGATGAAAAATCCCTGAAACTCAGTACTTCTCAGGGAAATCGAGGACTGTAGCCGGGGGGGGGGGCAGGAGAAGAAGGAACCAGTCATACCTCTTCCTCCAGCTTCACTCTGTAGCCAGCATAGGTTAAGTGCTCTGGATCATCTTGCTGCTGCAGCTACACAGATAGGACTGGATAACTGATCCAACTGGAAAAGACCCTTTTTTGGTAGGTTAATTCTCAAACAAATAATTTTCCAGCCCAGGACACAGTGCAGCTGATGCATAACGAAGTCTGATCTGTTACTAACTGTGAAATTAGGCACCTAACCGGGATGTCCTTTTAGACCTACCTGTCCAGAATGTCATTTTAAATGCTAGATGATGTGATAATTGGAAAGGCATAGAAAATTAATGGGTACGTGAAGGCTGAAGCACATACAAACAGCTCTTCTGGTGCAACATTTTATGCACTTTTTGAACCACCAGTGTTAGCAGTTTTGTTGGCACCAATGACCAACTGAAGGCAAACAAAGTAATCCAGCTATGGCATAAAAGGTTAATGCACCAGGCATCTCATGTCTGGCCTTCAGGATGCTGGGAAAGGGAGGGGCCCTCATTGATGGGGTCAGCTCAAAAGAATACACCAATTCTTAAAAACTGGCAGGGGGTTGCTGCACTACTTGTATTGGCTTTTCCAGTCTGCCTTCACACAGTAGAGCAGGCTTGTAGGTGGGGCAGAAGGGGCTGAACCATCAAAATACATCAAAATTACATTGGACAAGTGTTCAGCTGACTGATTTCAGAGACTCTGCTCGGCAGAAGGCATACAGCCTCCAGGGACTCTGTCAGAGAGTTCTGAGCCCTGTGGCAGAAAAATTTCACAGCATGATGGAAACTACACAGCAGCGAGTACATACAAGCATTGGTGGAGACTGTAAATAAAGGGAGTGAGGAGCAATGCAGATAGCCTTCAAGCAAGGCATGCTTGCTCTCAGCACAGGCAGGTGAGAATATCTCAAAACAATAAAAAATGAGACATGCAAAACTGATTGTGTTACTCAGCCAAGGTGTTAGATAAAGGAGAGGTAGTTTGTCTCACTCTGCCTTTCAGGCCACGGTCCAAGCAGTCACTCAAGAGTATGGGCACAGCCCAGCAATCACTGCTAGTGGGAAACTTTCTCAGCTGTGAGCACACCCACGTTTAAAGCTGCATTACAGTATGTAACTTGAAAAGAAGCTCAGATCTGACTCGCTGGAACATGGGGATAAAATTGCCTAACTGTCCACCAGGTCCCTTCCTGTGTAACCAGTGGGACACAAAGTAACATGAACCTGGAGAGTCCCATTTACAGACACACTGCACAGAAGAGACACAATATAAAACATCCAGAACTATTTTTCACTCATCACTAAACTGCATAAGAAGTACACAAAAAATTAACTAATCTCTGTATAAAAGAACAGCAAAAATTGTATTCATGCAAAAACTATTAGGAGTGGGGAGGTGACTGATGATCCCTGTTTTAAACAACAAATAAATCCTCTCATTGAGCATGAGAGTCAGCAATTGTCACATCAAAGCAAAAATGCTGGCACTAAAGCCGAGAGCATCAGGAACCAGTAGTGAGGGGGGGAGATGAATTAGTTCTTGCTTGCTCAGATGTAGTTCCCAGTGAAATCAATACCAGTTACGCCTACTGAGACTGAAAGACAGAACTGAGCTATTATGACCAATTCTGCTAAACTTGAATATCCTCTGAGCAACCCCACTTGAAACTACTCAAATTACTCCTGTCAGTCTCAGATCACTGGTAACTATTAACACAGTCAATGTTTCCAAAGCTTATCATCATTTCTTATTTAACCAGTCTCCTCGGTAATCTATCATTTTGCAGGTGTAATGGTATTTTGGTGAACTGAACTACAGCCAGGCACGACATAAGCAGATAACACTAAGTTTTATTTCAGTTTCACTGCCACTGAATCTGAACTTGCAGCAGTTGATACTGGAAGTCAGGAAGTATCTTCTGGAACTTGCTTTTACATTTTCTAACGACCGAAATTAACATCTTTTTTCAACAAGCGTTGCCTTAACGATCTCAATGGGCCACGCTTTCTCATACAGCTGAAAAAGAGGATAAACATGAGTTAATCACTAAGAGGAATATTAAGCTAATGTACTTGCTCTAGCTTATCTTTACATGTCACTTGGTAAACTGATTCTGCAGCTTGATGTCATTTTAATTAATATGGTTGCTTAATTAAACTGTTAGAAACAAAATCAGGGATTCACAAACTATGGCATTTTATTTCAGAGGCCTTTGCTTACATTTGTACAATATATTACATAATTCTCCATTTTCTGCAGAACCTAATATATATTTTATAGCTTTTTTTCTATAAGCTTTTCCTTCAATGTTTGTCAACAAATTTTTACAGTCCTGTACAATTCTGAATACTTTGAAACCATTTTCAATAAAATCCTTTAACCTTAAGCACACACTACGAAGACTGAAAATGCTTTTCTTAGAAAAGTCAAATGTAAAGGATTCTGACACTCTAGCATCTACAAACAAAATGCTTTGAATTCTTACATGTTGTATTGCCAGAAAACAAAGAAAAACATGCCAGCCCCTATTTCCCCAGGCAAAAGAAGTACACGGAACTACAATTAAAACAGTAAAACAATCTGTACAATAAAGTACTGTGTATTAACAGTGCCAGGTATTAAATAGCTTGAATGAACACTTCCGCAATATACAAATGTCTTACAAAGGTATATAATTAACAGGAGAGAGCTTGGAATCCATACAACATAAAATCAATACAAGTGAAAACAGTTTGAAGTTGGTTTTGGAATTTGTACAAGGCATTTAAAAAATTAAATGTCTACCACTCAGCTAGCTATTTATTTTAAAAACAACTACCCTTCTGTGGCAGTGTTCATATCAGCAACCTCAAATTATAACCTCACACCTTATTCCGTCTTGAAGTCCCCTCCTTGAAGCTCGTAATAAAATAAGCATTACAAATGAAATATTTGTTGCTTTAAGGGAAAAGAAACATTTACAAGAAAACACAAAAATATAACTGTTATAATCCAGTATGAATAAATATACACTTTAAACTGGCTAAATACAATCTTTATACATTAAGATTTAATACAGTTTGTTAGCCATTTTCTTTCTTTTTCATAACGTATTTTATCAAAATTAAAAAAAAATACTGTTTTATAGAAAAATGGCAAAGTACAGTAGTTTCATTCCAATTAATGGGTTCTTAAAACCCAGAGTAACCTATTTAAGCCTAATTCAAACCTGTAAACATTAGTCAGTCTTTTTCGTTTTTTTTAAAGGAATCCTCATATTTGGTTATCAGGACTGATGTCAAACATCCTACTAACAGCAGGTTTTGAATTGAATACATGTGCTTGACATATACAATTAAAGCCACTATAAGGTGACTTAGCAGTTAAAAAACAATTAGCTTGTACAAATGAAAATAGGTTCAATATTTGTCATAAATAAATGGAAAAATATCAAATGTTCCAGCTTTAACAAAATACCGGGGAATACAGTAAGCCTTACCACATTTATTTAGATCAACCCAACAACTATACGCTTATTGTACTGTCTCTACAGGCAGTGAACAGCCTCCATTTGCCACAGTGGAAGGCCTTCGAGTCACCAGACTTACAATTCCCAGACAAGTTGGAAACAATTATTGCTTGAGGAAAAGCAGTTTGTTGTACTTTTTCTTCATAAAAGTGCACTTAAGTGCAAAGTTAGCTTGTCAAGAAACAACTTTAAATACAAAATAGTGCTTGTCTGAATTTTGTGCCACTGTGCAGTATAAAAAAAAAAAAGAAAAAAAAGAAAAAGAAAAAAAAAGAGTGGCCCTCAGCAGCCTTTAAGTGCAAAGTGCTTTGGCAAGTCCTGCTGTCACCTGCACTCAACTGACATTCCATTCTGTGATGGACTGGACATAGATGGTTCTGCTAAAGTTAACATAACCGCAGCCGTAATGGAACTGGAGGAAGGTGATGAGGAAGAAGATGATGTAGTAGCAGCACCTGCACAGGAAGAGAAAAACAGAGGTTACAAAAATTTCCAAACTAAGCAATAAAAATTCCCATTCAACAAGCAGCATTCTGACTCCAGCCTAGTAATAAAAAAAGAAAAGCCTCCATTCTGTATTTTTTGTAGGAAATACTCCGAGAGACAGCTTTGGCCATGTGCAAGACAGCCATGGCATTGCTCCGTGCAGCCATGGTTCACCCAGACCGAGGGCCCAGCCAGAGGATGCC